TGCACACCGGGGTCTATGGTGATAGGAGAGTCGGTAGAATAGCAGAAGAATTAATATTATAAAAATAGTAAACTGGGGTGGGGAGATACATGGCAGGGAGAGAGGTACACGTGGCCGGGGTGTGTGCAACGGGGAAGGCCGCAAGACGGAAGGGAGTAAATGCGGCGACACGGGGGGTGTATTCATAGCCCGGGACGCAGGTTGCGCAGCGATTACGATCCTGAGAATCCGAGGTGGCTTGGAAAGCGATACGGCGTCGGCGTCGCACCAGAGCGAGGCTGCTACAAAAGAGGAGTATGGGTTTGGCTGAGAGCCAGACAGCACCGGAAGAAATATTCCGCGGAGCCGTGGAATACAAGATAAAGCCAGAACAGAGTAAAATCGTCCAACAACTTGAATGAGTAGTGGGCGGGAGCATGGCTCGCGAGAGGGAAATGCACCGAAAGTCTACCGTGACGACGTCATGTGGGTGCAGAAGACGGTACCCTAACCCCAGACCGCTCTGCTGCCCCAGTGCCCTTTCTCCTGTTCCCCACATTCATCTGCCCTTTTATGTTTCCCATCCCTGCGCCCTAAATTCCGCTTCTCGCCGCACACCGCCTATACTCGCCGTTTCTGGCATTCTCTTCCCTTCACCACGCATTCCACGACGCTCAAGTTCCTGCCGCGGTCGTTATGCTCCGCACCACCCCACCATCTCTCTATCCACCCATCCGTCCTTCTACCTTCCACTCCTGCGCCGTTTTGATCTTACCGCTCCTTCCCCACATCCCGCATGCGCTTCCTCTACATGTCACATCATACTCATCCCCTCCTCCCATCAACTCCACCTCCCTGACATCCATCCCTCCCACCCCTCACATCCCGCGCACTGCATCGCATCGCATCGCATCGCATCTCATCCACACCTCATTCCCCCGTACCCATCCCATCACACCCATACCCTTCTCATTACCTTATATATATATGTCCTCGACCGCATAAGATATGAATCACAGCGTCCGCCTCTCTCCGAGTCTTGTCGCTCCACGCCACCCAACTCGCCTCCCTCCCTACGCTCCAATTTGGAATTATCCTCCGTGCGCAGGCTTCAAATTGATATCACGCCCATCCGCCCTTACGAGGACCGGCGCATGTGAGACACCGTCCGTCTTGTTGCTCCAGGATACCTCCTCTCTGCGCGTCTTCGCGGCTCTCCAAATTATCCCACCGCACGCGCTCCCCGTCTCACATACACAATCTGCTCCTGCCGCGACTCTTCTGGATTGCTTCTGCACCTTCGAATGACTGCGCCGGGCCGCCTCTTCCTGTCATCGAACTTTGCCCCCAATATACCGCGAGTGTCCTTGGTATCAACAATCGCCACAACCACACCGGCATAATATATGATCCACTGCGCCGACTACGTGCCTCTCATCTCGTTCTCTTCCAACAACACTATAGTCGCCCTGATCTTCCGCGTACATTCTCCCCGCTCCAACTTGGAATTCCCATCCGCGCGCAGGCGTCAAATTGCCATTCCGAGCACGCCCACCTCCTCCGTCTACGCTGACAGGAACCTGCGCTTTTGAAATACGTGTCGCAAATTTATCTTTAAGCTTATAAGAGGCTGCTATTACGAGCCCTTATCAACCGCATATCATAAGCTTGGCCACCCATAAGCGCCTACAACTAACGCGGCCAAAACTTGTTTTAAAGCCTGTGTTATGTTTGAGCCGCGCACCGCCAATATTTCACATCCAACATGATGTTTTGAATGGAAACTTTGGTTCTGCATACCACAACATCCCAATAGCTGCGATCCTAGCCGAAATAAAATCATCTTATGCGAGATCTTTATCACGATAAAAAGCATTTAAGGAGCACTGCTCTTATGGCCTTATACGGCCTTAGAGCGCCTTATCAGCGAAATTACATATTTACGACACGATAAATCCTCTCTGGCGATGTCGTTAGACTTCAAAATTCTCCCCGTCGGTACGCATCACAAGAAATTCTCCCATCGCCGTCGCGGGAAAATTCTACCCCTCAATTTCACAGCCTTTTTTTTGGAAGATGTTGTACACTACGTTTCTTGACGACTATCCGCGTCTGGTCATGCCAATTTACAAACAAGCGCGAGGTTCCTCCTCTACGCGCTCCCATTCACCTTGTCCCATCTTCGGTGCATACAATACGATCCTGCCTTCCAAAAACTCCGCTCCTTTGGCTCGAGATCTCCAAGAATATATCTGCATAGCCCTTGTATCCGTCCCGCGGACTTATATGTCACAATATAATTCAGCCACCTCAATTGCAATCCCGCGCCGCGCCGACTGCGATCAGCGCGCTCCATTTCAATACCAATCAACCAGACGGTCCCTTCCAACTTCCATTGCAATACCCATAACACCACACTCACGGCCAGCTGCTTCAATTCTGCAACGCGAATCAGAATCTGCTGAGCGCTTCGCAGGACCTTTCCAACTCGCTCTCCGTTTATCGGTCAAGACGCCGATTTGCCGACATCAATTACCTTGAACCCTTGCTCGTCGAGAATCATGCGCGGCCGACGCACAGATTCCTCGGATCTACTGGCCCCTCGCACTCTCTGCTAGTTCTTGTACTCACTACAAGTCTCATTTCCTGCGCAATCCCAACTCGCTTTTCGCCGCTTTTCTTTTGCGGCCACTCGTCTGCGCGTAGCCTTCGAACTTGGCCAAAAGACATTCATACAACGTCTTTTCACTGTACTAATTTTTTCTTACTAGTGTTCGGCGCGCGCACAATCGTCCGTATCACGCAAAATCCTGAACTCGGCACTAGCAGGATTTTTTTGCATACGGTCAAAGCGGCGAATAGCTGGTATGTAGTAACATCTACTGTCAAGCCACCATGACTTGATATATCACTTCAATTAGTACTGATCCTCGGTCCTCTCTGCAGCGCTCACATCTCATTTCTATCGCATCCTCCGATGACTTCGCTGTGCCACGGTACATTGCCTGCCATTTTTCCGCGTAGGCCTTCTACGCTTGCCTCTTACATTTATTTCATTGTTTCCTACAGCCCAACTGACTGCCCTCCGAAATTTCTGTCTTCCGGCTCCATCAGCGACACATCATCCATCAGAGGTGGTAAATGCCTTTGACGATATCGATCCAGACTTCATGTCTAGGAGATGGTCTTTAAGGGATGGGTCTCGCTTTATAATGCCGCATGGTCTACGCCAGTGATAGCATGTTTCGCAAAACTTTTTGGGGGTGGCCACTCGTCAATGCCTCCCAGCGTTTCCAATTTCGCCAAAGCCATTCATTCGAAAGTATCTCGCTCTTATCATCACTATTGTTTTCACTGATTTTTTCTTCCTTCCTGCTAGTTTCGCTCCCTGTTCGTGTCTAATGGGCACAGCCTTCCGCACAATTATTTCTGCATCCTTACAGTCGAAGCTGTGGGGTATAGTTTGGTGAGTACTTGAGAACCCCAATCACCCAATATCCCACCTTTTATTCAGGCTCCTCGATCTCTCTCCGCGCTCATCTCGTATCGGCGAGGCTATGCTCACTCCGGGTCCACGTTGTGAGGGTGCATGGCCTGTCGCGCTGCTACCACGCCGACTGCGCCCGGATGGCTTCACCACGCTTCTTGGTGTACCTTCCCCAGTGAATAACGAGAACTCTCAGTCCGGTACTTTTTAGATCGGTGACTCGTACTGCCGCACACCGACCCACGCACAGACAGTATCATGTATATGAATTCATTCTAAATAAATGAGAGCCTCGGGATAGCACCTTGTCGACGCACAAAGAGGATTCAACCGGGATTGTGTTCAGAAAGAGGTGGATTATGGGTATAAAAGTATGCACAGAACAACACATCGTTTCACGCCGTCCGTGATAGGCTGATCATATGAAAACACACAGTTAGCAGTCCAAACAAGAAGCGGTGTGTGTAGATAACAAAAAAATCAATAAGCAAGCAGCGCCGCCGACTCTATAGGATCATGGTCAAGAAGCCACAGCGAAATCAAAATGAGGCATGCTCCTTCCGTATCCTTTGGAACACATAAGTACTACTCGGCGGCTGAGACTCACTGGCAGTGCAGGAATTGGATTGGGGGTCATTCTTTTGGCCAGGTCTGTGCTAAAAACATATTTTTGAAACCCAAATTGGAATACTTAAGGTGTGACACCGGTGGCGGTGAGGTGATGAGGTGCACTGTATTAGTAGTATTAGTAACAGTATTACATTCAATTCGACAGTCACGTGACTTTGGCCCTGCGCCAGAAAATCCGATAAATCGAGAAAAATTTATTGCTGCAATAAAAAAAGTTGGGTGTGACGCGTGACTGTCAAATTGAGTGTAATAGTACAGTACCATCAAAGATCGGATTGGCATGGACAAAGCGGAGGTAAAGGAATGAATGTTGACTATCCACAGGATACGCGTCGAGTGTTGAGCTGCGGGGAATAAATGAGACAAGAGTAAATAGTGGATGAGACGACAGGAAATACAAGAAAATGGTGGGGACATAACGAAGTGACGGTCAAATCCGTTACACTAAAACTCCATCTCCCTTTTGCACGGCATATAAAATTTCCAATTGGGAATAAAGATTAATTTACGAGGGATATTTTCTTTACCTCTGCTTGAATTTTAAAACGGAAGAGGAAGAAAAGAATGTCTGACAGCCGGATGTCTTAAACTGCATCGCAGCTTGGCCAGTGGAGAAAAAAAAGGCGCCTGCCAATGTACACCCTCACAAGAGGATTCGAACCTCACATTCCGTTGACACAGGTGTATATACCACAGCACGGCTGATGGGTGATGTGCCAGTTCATCCAATGATCCATGAAGGCTGCGGTCCTTTCTGAATATCCCTATTTCAAATCTTAAGTATCATTTTCATTTCTGCGTCTTCAATAGACTCCTCCTCAAAAGACAATTTATTATTTCATTGCCTTACAACCTACCTTGAATCTTCCCAGGACAGCAAAAAAAATATCTCGTGACCTATTTATACCCCAGGGAGGATTCGAACCTCCACCTTCCAATTACGGCTGGTTACAAGGAATGGACGATGTACCGATTCATCTACAAGGGCTATTCACCTTATATCTGCGCTTAGATGCCGTCTTATTCAGTGCGGCGATCAAAAAAAATTACCCCGGAAAAAACAGCATTGTACCATAAAATTCCATTTCCTGCCTAAATATCACCTCGGAAGAAAATTGGGAAACAGCTAGAATATTTCCTACCAAATTTCCCCAAGTAAAATAAATGTCTTTAGCCCGGAAAAAATTGAGGCAAAAGTCAAACTTTTTCTTTCAGAATCACCTGAGGAAACAGGCAGGATTTTTCCTCGGGAAAATACTGGGCCGTTTTGTTCTCAGGAGATAGCCAGGCTGTTTCCCTCGGAAATCGACTGGGAAAAAGTCTATCTGTTACCTAAGAATCTCCTTGGGTAAAAGATCTTCTTTTACTTCAGGAGATTTTCGGGAAACAGCCCGGCTATCTCCTCTGATTTTTCCTTGAGCACCCGCACGTGGCCACGCGCCGGCCACGTGCGGGCCGCGCAGTGCCCGCCAAGGCCGCCGCACGTGGCCGCAAGCGTGGGCGCGCAGCTTCGAGTGCCGGCATGCGGGCTCGACGCGCCTTGGGCACGCGAGGGGGTGGCAAGGCGCGGCATTCTAATTCTCAATAATAGTGGTATTACTATTAGGGGGGTCATACAGTAGCTATCTACTCTATGTATTCGTTCACCTCGACTGCGCGAGTTGCCGCGTCCGCAACCATGCTGCCTAGTACGCCGCAGCGCGGCACGCAGCCTCCTCGGCCACCTCCGCCCACGCTGACAGCTCCTTTGCCCGCAGGCTTGGGGTGTTACTATTCCGTGCCTGCGCCTCCTCCTGACGCCACCGCTCCTTGTCTTCCCGCCGCCGCACGCTCCTTCACGCGCTGCCTCTCCGCCAACGCCGCCGCCGCCGCCGCCGCCGCGCGCTGCTGTGCAATCCCGGCGGCGCATGCGGCCTATCACCGCGTCTGCGCGGAGGCCGCCGGGCGATTGCGCGGAATCGCCAGCGAACATGGACTCCTTACCGGGGACGTATGCGCCGGTGGACATCAGGATTGGGGTCGGGGTAGGAGAGGCTGCTCGAGGACGGGGTGGTGAATAAGGTGGCCGGGGAGAAGGGCGAGGGTGATAGTGGTTCGGAAGAAAAGTGTGGGTTACGGGAGCAAGGCAGGACATGCATAAAGATACGGTTGGGGAGAATGAGTGGGGTGGAGGGGACACCCTGGAAGCGCTCGGTGCGGGAGTCGAGCAGCTCGGGGAACTTAGACCTGAGTGCCGTGAGCGTAGCGAGCGCCATGAGAGATCGTGAGCGAGCCTAATTAGGACATAATGAGCGGAGAAAAAGAGACCGGAATATATGAGTGAACAACTTATCATGAGCAGAGAACCGCGCATGCACCTTTTCCCCCAGGGCCAGTCTTGTATTGGGAGCCTCAGCTCTGCCTCTGCGTGGGCGCTCGCGAGAAACATGCTTGTGGGGTCAGGACCGCTACCGATGAGCGCGCCGCACGAGAGGGACACCCAGTCGAAGTCTACGGGGAGTCAGTCAGATTCGGCAAGAAAAAGAGGCGAACTAAAACTGGAGGGGAAGGACAGAATACCCACCCTGTAAACCACCGAACGTTGTGGATCCCTTACCCTCGTCTTACCCTAGCATACTCTTATCAGTCGCTCGCTCATAAAAAAAATGGAGTAGAACACGTGGGTGAAAGGGCGAGTAGGGCTGCCGCCCGTTGCCGTGACGGCAACGGCCGTTGATTTACGGCCCGTGGAGTGGTCGAAAAAAATCCAGACGGGACGGCACGGTCAACGGCACGGCCGTGCCGGGTGTTGAACGGCACACGGGTCAGTTGAAAATTAATTTCGTGTGTATCAATGTCAGATTGACTCATGTACCAGCTATATGAATTTTTGGATGTCTAGGTGTGTTCCACCGCTTCAATATTCAAAATACATCGCATTCTACAGTGAGAAAGCTGTTTCTTTGCTACTGAACTAAATTTAAACTCCGCCATCACTCGCGGCAAATGCCGTGAACCAACCTAAACCTCAAAATATGACATTTGACGGACAATAATAGTCACTCCAGGCTAAGCTTTAGTATTTTGAGGTGTCCCTATAGTGTACCACAAGGAAATTACCCTGTATCAGCATTTCAGATTGTGGGAAAACTGCAGCCGTTGGACGGCCGTCACGGCCGTGTTTCAACGGGCCGTCGGAGTGGATGAAAAATGCCTGACGGAACGGGCACGGCACCCCGTTGACGGGTGCCGTAGAACCGTGGCAACGGGCACGGGCGACAGCCCTAAGGGCGAGCACATACTTGAGTTCGTGGGAGGCTCCCTAAAACCCGACACAGCGACACGGCGACCAGGCTTCAGGAAGTCCGACACAGCACAGAAAAGCCAACACATAGGCCTAATTCTCATCAACTCCGACACATTGCCAAGAAAATATACCCTCCTGTGCCCTTCAAGTTGAACTGATGTGATCGTTGATCTATGATGCCATATCGCCGAGTAGGCCGAGCGTGGCTGTCTTATTTTTAGTTTTGGTTGCCGAAGTGCCGAACTTGCATCCAGTGGCAAATTTGCTTATGTAAGTTGTGAGGTTCGTCCTTTGTAAGTAGCCAATAGTTGCACAACACAATTTGCCACATATAATATCAGGTATAAAGAGAAGTATGTCAAGAACAGTAAAGATTATGACTATGCAGGTTCAGTATCACCATACAATGGGAGATACTCCTCCGGAAATCGAGCAAGGAATTTGAACGACGTGTAAATTTGGCCATCTGTGTGCCTGATGCTCCGTGGATTCGGCTTGCACTTCGGACTATATGGCGTGTGGTTAGATCGGAAGGTAATGAGAGGGTGTGACTCACTGTTTCTTCCCGGAGCTCGATGGTACCGGAGGGAAATTCCTAGGTGTTCGATGAAATCAAATCCGCGGTGTCAATCATTCTGACATGAATTCCGCACCTTTCGCTGATGGTGGGGTCCAGGAGGTGATCCAGATCTCCTTGTTGACGGCGCCATCCCTGGAGGTCATCCAGGTCAACCCATGCGGTATCGGAAAACAATTGCGCGTTCTTGGCCCTAAATTTTGCGGTGAACGACTGTGGAACATCAGCTTGCATCGAATGGAAGGTCAGGGACGTACCGCATCACAAAACTGCTCCAGAACCTTGTTGGGGAGGCGCGTCAAAAGCGCTGCGAGCTATACAATTGCACGACGATGCGGCGGCGAGAATATGGGAAGAAAGAAAAGTGCTGGATACCGGATCAACAGTAACACCATCCAATGCCAAGCCACGATAGCCGAGTGGGCGTGTCGGGTGTCCTGAAGTTGTTGAAGAATGTGTCGGTTTTGCTGAAAACTGTGTCCCATGTGGCGAAATGTGTTGGATTTGCTGATCCACATGCAGGATTTCTCAGATGTGTCGGATTTTCTGATTTTTGACAGGTGTGTCGCTGTGTCGGGTTTCCTATATCCTCGCTTGGGGGTTGGGGGGTACTTGTGGTAGCTTTCCAGTTGGACCTGGTGCTTCCGTGGGAAGGAACACCACCTTCTTCTTCCCTGCTGACAGAGGTTTCTGCGGTGAATCAGAATGTGGATGGCCAACATCAATGACAATTCTGATCCCTCTTAATTTGGATGTATGTAGTCAGAATAGCCAACTAAGATGTAAAGCGAAGCCAAAATTTAGTTAGGAATCAATGAGTCGTGATGAGAGGCCTTGCTCGCGGGGCGTTCAAAAATTGAATAAAAAATCAGTGAGTCATATTGGCGCGATCTGCCAACATATGCAATCATTTTTGCTCCTTCCGACTGTACCTTACCGCAGCACATTCAATTTTCAACTTGTCTAGTTCGAAATCTGAGTCTTAAGATTCGCACATTTTCGGCGGAATGCCCTTGTTAGTTGGCCTTGTTTGCGATTGAAGATACGACAACATAATCGATGAACAAGTGAGCATTTACTGGATCTGTGAGGTCTTGCTTGCGGGACATCTAAAAATCGAATAAAAAAATTGGATACAATCAGTAAGAGAAGTACGGACCTGAGCCTGAGCCTGAATATAAAATTAGTTGGCACCAAGAAGTGACTACAAAAAACATGCTCCCGGGGAGTCTAGAACACGAATAGTAAATCGCGGTGAGTGAAAGCTCATCTGAAGGGGGAGGCCTTGCTTGCGACAGATTGCTAGAAAGAAAATTGAGTAAGGTGCTTGAAGATGCGACAGCACAAGAGTAGGATCATAAATAAACGAGTGACCGCCTACTGGATCTGTGAAGTCTTGCTTGCAGGACATCCAAAAATTGAATAAAGATTTTGGATACAATAGTGAGTAATTCATTACTCTGGATGCACAATATGGTTTGCAGGATGCGTAAAATTCGGGAGATGATTCGGACTTCCCTGCACAGCATCGACGCGGTTGCTTGAGAACGCAAGAACACCTGATAGTACTGCTTGTTTGTCTTCTGTAAACTCGTTGTTCATGTTGTGGACCTCGCGAGTATGATATATCCCCCCCCCCTCCCCAACAGTAAGATGATAAATAAATGAGTGAAATCTTGCTCAGAAGTCCAAAATTGAACAAAGAATTTAGAAGTGATTTATACTGTCCCCATTGTAAAATAAATAAAACATATATTTTGAGGCTTGGACCCAATACTTTCTGAGAGGTATGCTGATATCTCGGATTGCGGAAGGCTATTGTATATTTAGAGAGGAAGAATCAATAATTTGAGCAAGAGGTTATACACAGCAACCAAGGGAATCTGACTCACTGAAGTCAATGGCCAGGAGTACTGCGCAAAGAGACCTGCTCCTCCCATATCTACGTTGTAGACACTGGTGGGTTCAATGATGACCGGGCACGCAATCGAATTTCAATGTTCAATTAAACTTGGAATTTACCCCCGAAAGGTACGTTGCACTTGCGTTCCTCAGTTTCCCTTACTGATCACCGAATGTTATTCCAGCTTGAGTAAATCCATGCCGGACTAAATGTGTTCAAGGA